AAAAAAAAAAAAAATTATCCAGGCATAGTGGCATGCACCTATAGTCCCAGTTACATGGGAAGTTCAGGCAGAAGGATCATTTAACTCAGTTTAAGACTGCGTGAACTATGCTCACACCACTACACTTTATCCTGAGCAAGGTTCAGCAAAGGTCTCACTGAGGTGGTGATGTTTCAGTACAGGCTTGAAGGAGGTGAGGAATGAACTGTGTAGAGATCTCAGAAAGATAATCACAGCACTTTTGAAGGTGAAAGGATTGCCTGAGCCCAGGAGTTTGAGACCAGCCTGGGCCACATGGCAAGATCTTGTCTCTACAATAAATCAAAAAATTAGTCAGGTATGATGGTGCACACCTGTTGGAAGGCTGAGATGTAAGGATCACCTGAGCCCAGTAGGTTGAGGCTGCAGTAGCCATGTTATGCCACGGCACTCCAGCATGGGTGGCAGAGACTCTGACTAAAAAAAAAAAAGTTGTCAGAAAGAGGGCTCCAGGCAGGAGGAAAAGTTGGTCCAAAGGCCCTGAGGTGGGATCATGCTGATGGTTAGAGCGGAGGAGCTGCTGGGGCAAGCAGTGTCTCCACTGCAGTACTGGGGAGAAATCACCTTTATTTTATGTTTACCAGCTGACCAACTTTCATCCCAGCCTAGGCCCTGAACCCTTGTCTGCCTGCTCCAGTTACTCCATTTCTAGCTCTGCATTCTGGGCCTGGGTGTCAGTCAGGAAGGCACCCTGGTTACAATCCCTATCTCAAGTTCATTGTCTCTTGTTATTCTCTCAAAACAGTCGTTCTTTGCCTCAGAGCACTTGAAGCAAAGCTGATTTGTTTTTCTCTGGTAATTTAATCTTGTTCTTTCCCACTTAGCTGTAAATTTTCCTGATTTAATTTCCACTGTGATCGGAAAATTAAATGTCGAGATTTACATTTCAAAAAGACGACCGTCTGCTTCTGCATGGGGAGCAGATTGAAGGGGAGGGGATTGGAGGTGGGGAGGACTAGGGATAGAGCTGGGCGGGTATCCAGGGAGTGGGGAATACCCTGGACTAGGATGGAGGCTGTGGGCAGGTAGCAGATAGTGGGATTTGTTCCGGACACAGAGCCTTTATGATGGGGCAGAGATCTGATGGAGACGGGGCTGGGGGCTCCACCATGCAGAGCTCGATATGGCACACTTTTAGGGCAGGAACAGGAACAGGAAACCAACAACACCAACAAATATGCCCAAGGCACTCCAGATGCACCTGACGCTGAATCTGCCCTGCACTTTCTTGTCTCCATTTGATCATCCTGGGATCAAATGCGGGCCACCCAACAGTTAGCTTACCTGGGAGACTTGCACGCCCTGGTCCAACGCGTACTGTACCAGCCCGGTGGCTGTATCATGGGACAGGGAGTTCAGGTTGTATTTGACCCTGGGGCGGGGACAGAGCCCAGTTAACTCCATTCCAGGCAAGGGCTCTCCCAACCCACACTCACTGCTCCTCCCCCCAATCCCTCCCAGGGACCCCCTCACCGCCCAAGCATGCTGGTAGAGATGAGGTTTGGAGACAGCACGTCCAGGGCCCAGCCCACAAAGTCCCCGTCCTCCTCCATTTTCGCAAACAGCCTTTCCCGTTCGCTCTCCGACAGGGTCTTTGAGTCTGGGAGGAGGGTTGAGAAAGTGAGGGAGCAGCTGGTTCTTCCCGTTCCGGCCCCACCCTCCAGTTCCCACCTACCCCTGCACATGCCCAGAAATCCCCTCCCCAGATGTACAGGCCGGGCTCACCTGCCACTTTCAGGGCCTCCAGATCTGCCAGGCGGGACAGGGGGCAGTAACAGATGGCGTAGACCATGGGACCTGGGGAGGAGGGATGTCAGATTTCCGGGAGCCGGGGAGCAATCAGTGAGCTCGTGACCGCTGTCATCCTTGTTCTACCATCAACGCTTTATTCGGTGCCATGACCGATGCCACGGCCATCGCCGCTCTCACTCCCCCTTCCCGGGTCCGCTGCAATGCCCACTCCGGTTCCTGCGCAACTTGCATCCCCCGTATCACGCCCCTCCCCCTCCCTGGTCCCGGGGGCGCACCCAGCACAGGGCCCCGGCCCGCTTCATCGACGCCCAGGACGCAGGGCTCCTTGCGGCACACTGCGGGCACAGGCGAACTCAGGCGACAGCAGCCCGTATTGTCTCTCTCCAGCTCGCTGAGATCCATGCTGCCGCGGCGGCCGCCAGAAAACCCAGAATTAAGGGCCGCGGGAGCAGGTCCCGGCGCGCGTTTTCCGCGGGCCCTGCGACGACACAAGTCTCCGACCAATGAGCACGCGGGACACGCCCCCGACGCTGCTCACGTTGGCGCCGCCGACGCCGGCGCCGCGCGGCCTCCTGGGAATTGTAGTCCGCAAGAAATGCTGCCAAGCGCTCAGCTTGGGAAACAGGGTCGGAGGGGTCGCCCTGCACGTTCCGCCCTGGGGTCTCTGGGGCCTCGCCCGCCGAGGCTGGTGGGAACAGAGGGAAATAAAGAGGAAAATGAGGCGCAAGTTCTAAGACTCAGCCCTACGGGGGTCTAGAAGGTCAAACATCAGTACATTCCCAGAACACGGGTCCCCGACCCCAACTGGATCCAGGTCCTGTCCTCGCGGTCCCACCTTCCTCCGCACAGGGACTAGGTATCCTCGCTTTCACTAGGCCTTCGGACTTGGGGTCCCCAGACTCCCTCCCTCGGGCCCACTGCTCCCCCCATCCCACCCCTAGGATCTCTGCTTCCTACCCTCACTCTCATGTGGGCTGAGCCTCCCCCACCCCCAGTGGAGACCCCAGACCTCAGCCGACTCCGGCTCAGGGTCTCCACCCACCACGGAGGCTCTTTCCTCCCAGTTCAGGGTCCACGTTCCCACCTCCACCCCTCGACCCTTCTCCCGCCCTCCCCTCCCAGGCCCCTCCACCACTCCTACCTCACCTCTCCAGCTATTTTGGACTCAGTGGGGCTCACATCCTCTGCCTGGGGTTCCCGCCCCTCACCAGGCGCCTGCGCCTTCCTCGGGGACCGAATTCCTCCGTCTCCCTTTACCCCTCTCCGTAGCCCCCCGCCCCACATCTTTCTTGTTTTCAACCCAGATATTAGCGGGACTCGCCTCCTGACTCCGT